ACGACAGTGTGAAAGCAATTGATGTTAATACTGTGGCTCGTAGAAATTCCTCCTAGTCGAATTTAATCTCCGATTGAATCAGCCAGTAAGTAATAAAATCGCAACGTCGTTACGTTAGAAAAGTAAGTAACTGCGTTTGTAGTACTAAAAGTTATCGTTCCGTTTAGTCGACTAGAAGCTTAAAAAAAAGATACGTTTTAATCAGAAATTCGCTTGGGCGAGTAACAAAATTTATATTAAAATAATTGATCGTTCGAGTATAGGACTTAGAAAAAAAAAAAAAATCAGCCAGATTATTATCTCACAATCAGATAAGCGTACATGGTCGAGTTCAGTTTGAATGTTTCGAGATTAGCCAACACCCCGGACGCTAAGTATCCGAGAATATGACTATGTCCGCTGACTTCTCCTCTTCCGTCGACACGAACGGAGTGACTACTTGCATGTTCACCGATATGTACAAAGGATAAGTCAGCTGTTTGTCCAAGGACATCACCTGCTTCTGAAATAAAAAACAGAAACGATCGTTGTTGAACAGAAGTCAACAATCAAAACGATTCACTTACTTCTTCGTTTTTATGAAGCGATAGCCTGAGCATACCGGAGCTCTGGACGTGTTTCACTTGCCGTTGTTCATCCAGTGATATTAAACTTATCCTGAAAAGATCTCTCTTATAATTACGATTCTATGATTTTTAAGAATGCTCGATACTCACTTCAAGATTATATTGTGCTTGTCGTGATTGGCTTTTATGTGGTCCGTGTCCAATCTGTGATTCCTTTTAATCCTGAGAGTCGTGCTGTCTAAACAGACGACCAGGTCCAGGCCAAAGTGAAATGCAGTCCATCTCCACATGTGCTCGCCGGCTTTTTCGATGCACCTACCGCAACGGAAACACTCCCTAGCAAATTCCTCTTCGCTCATCTGTTTCGGTCTGCAATATCAAACAGGAAACAAACAGAATAGTAAGCGAGCGATAGCATTGACATTCACGACGTACCCTCGGTCTTTGTTCGCGTCTATTCTCAGTAAATGTAACCAGAGTTCCTTATACGCGTCGTGCAGCCACTCGTGCGGTATTAAATTGTCGCTGTACAAAATTTTCACGTCTAGATTGTGCAACAGAAGGTACTTCATTCTCAACGCTTTAAACGGCGCCGCGAACTCTTTCCCTTCCTCCGTGGTGAGAAACGGTTTGGTCCATTTGTGATTTCTGAAGTACTCGTCGATCTGAAGCGTTTCCTCTTTATTGTGAATGTGAACGAACAGCCTGGAGACGAACATCGATTATGTGATTGTTAGAAATATTTACTTGTACCACTCACCATACGCGTAACATCATGTATATGCAGAACTCGGTCTGTAAACCGATCAGATCTGGACTAGCGATTAACTCTGCCATTAAATCAGGCGTGATCTCTTTTAAGAACGTCGAGTGGAACCAGCCATATCCTAATAGATTAACTTCTAACCATCTCTTGGCCGCAGTTTTTACCACCGGCACACCGTACGATACAGAGGCGTTGTAATAAGGAACGACTGTTTTAATATTCGTCGTCTCGACCATAATGTCTGTGCACTGATCGATCAAGCCTTGCAACTGGAACAACGTGGAGGTAGCCAGAATAGATATCACGTCCTTTGGTTCCAAACTGACTTCGTCTTGGTAAAAAGAACCGAACACCGTGAGGAGAGCTAAGAATAAAGAGAAGTTAAATTAATTTCTTAGTACCATAGAAAATGATCAGATTTCTAATTCAATTATTTACAATCCAATGTGATGTTGGGATCTGCGATCTCTACGCTGATCACTGTCTCGTTTGCCTCTCTCCAAGACCCGGAGAACATACTCGCGAAATACGGGCTCTGTAGAAATAATATTAAAATGATAGAATCCAGAATATGAACTATTGAGATAAGACAAGCCTTGCCACCTGACTGATGTAAACTTTATGCAATCTCCATGCTTTCCCTAACATGATCACCGTTATGTCACTCCCTTTCTCTTCTTGGAACAATGTTTTGTATATGTACTGTGCCGTTGTTAATAATTTCCTTCTGTAAAAGCAAAACGAATCATTAGAGGCAGCCTCCCTACGTTAATGTGTGTCAATTAGAAGTTATTTATTCTGATGATGCAAACGGTTAACCAGCGACTCCTATTAATAATTTCTAACAGAGAAATTTGTTTAATCAAAGGATATTCGTACTTTTTTGGTGTTTGAAGGGTGCGATCGATATAATCCGAGTCCGAATCAAAATCATCCTCTTCTATACACTTTCGTTTACGTCCACGGTACACCGAGTGCATCGCACTGTTCGACATCGACGCGATCTTGCTCACGTAATTCCCCATTCTGCTCGGTCAATGATTGATAGAAAGTTTTACGATCACTGATGAATCGTTTAGAATCATCGACATTGTTTAGTTTCCGTGAAAGAAACCGTGGCTGCTCTCTGCAGTATACAACACGGGCACAGGGAAGGCTGTCTCTCCCTCTTAACCTACACACATGTATAGAATGCATAGAGACATATATGCGTGTATATAACATGTATATATGTGACGTGACAAAAGCCGCGGTATGTAAATACAATGTGTAAATATACAATTTTCATTAGAATTTCTAATCGTAACGAGAGGAGAAATGAAAAGAAAGCAGAATTCATCATCAGAATTTTTATTTATTTACGAGTTCATTCATTTAAACATAAACAGGCCTTCTTTTAATTCATATGTTTAATGTATTTTTTTTTTAATGAGTTTCTTTCTAATTATTCCTCGATGATCTAATGATTGATATCAGATAATCCGCATGTTGCCTCTCTAAGTTATACTGACGTCACGTGATGTTGTGAGGCGCTCGTGGCGCCATCTAGCGGAATCGGCTCGAAATATACACTCTGTATTAGGCGAATATAAAGTGATAGGAGGTTCCACTATCTCCTCGTGTGACGTCAGCAGCAGCGTATACGCCCTTGCGCATCCATTTGAACAACCAATCACGGACGATTCCATTCGTTGGCCATTTTGGATTTCTAACCAATCAGAATATAATCGCGGACGCTTCACTTCGTTGGCCATTTTGTATTCCTAACCAATCACGCTTCTCATATTAGGAGAATATGAATCAAAGGAAGCACCACTAACTCCTGTTGCTTACGTCACACGAGGAGTTAGTGGAACCTCCTATCACTTTATATTTGCCTAATACAGAGTGTATATTTCGAGCCGATTACGCTAGATGGCGCCACGAGCGCCTCGCAACATCACGTGACGTTAGTATAATTTAAAGAGGCAACGATAGATATGACTCATATGTAAATGGCGACCATTGGCGGCAAGTTCGCGTGGCGCCAGCGTCGTAGCAGTTGTAACAGTTATGAATAGTTATGATTACGAATATAATTAATTTGATATCATCTGTGGAAATGTGATTGATAAGAATATAAATCCTGCGAAATAACAGGACAGTAGTGGCGTGTGCGATAATTTGTATAGAAAACTGTTCTGCGTTTAGTCGAATAAGCTCACAGATGATCGTTCGATAACCTAAAAAAACCAACGGATCTTTCCGTTTGTAAGCTGACAATGATTCGTTAACTGCGTTGAAATAAGCGAGCGTTTATTATCGTTTTACATAAGGTATGTAATTATTCGTACGACTTGTCAGGATTCAGATTTTAAAAATACTTCTTCCCTTTGTTTCAATTCGTTCGTTCGTCAGAAATACTCGGCACCATGACACCGAACCTACGGCGAGGGGTTTCTAGAAATAGAGAGGATAGCATCGTTAGTAAAAACTGCCCGTTAAAAAAGTCGATGAATTTGATTAGCCAGGGTAATAACATGGAAGTAGTAGATAGATTACTATGCAAGCCGGTTTCTGTAAACATCGTAAAGCTGCTGAAGGCAGAGAAGAAAACGCCGCTTAAACCACGAAATAGATCAAGAATAACGAAAAGAAAAAGACCGAAACATTCTACGAAAAAGTCGTCCACCAAGCAGACACCTAATAAACTTGATAGTTTACTAAAAGAAGAGAATCAGCCTTATATAAAATTGCATAGGATAGACGAAGTGTTTTATAAAATAGCTCAGTCCCTTGCGAGAGCCTCTGCCAATGGAGAACGAAAAAGAATTCAAGAAAAGCCAGTAGACGGTACGACAGAGGCAGAACAGAAGAAGATTCACCAGGAAGAATGTGAAACATTAATCAGTACAACAGAGACAGACCAGGACAGAATTCATCAGGAAGAAGCATTGGACGTTTCGATAGAAACAAACCAGAAGAGGATTCATCAAGAATCATTGGGTACTTTGGTAGAAACGCAGAGCATCGACGAACCAACAGACAAAAGATTTGAAGATGAAAATTTAAACACTGACGAGCTGAACGAGAAGCCAGAAGCAGAAAACGTTGAGAATCATTCAGATTCTGATGAAAACGACATCGTTTGCAGTTTCAAGAAAAGGAACAAAGATTCTGACGATAATGATACGAGTTTAGGCAGATCGAGACCAAAGAGGATGAGAATAAATTCAGACACGTCAGAAGAAATGAATTCAGAAACAGATAAATCAACAGCAACGTGTGCATTAAATGAATCATTAAATGCGAGCAAAGATTTGAGTATATCAGAGAATTTAAACGCGTCGAGCGAAACTTTTATTATAAACGGAGAGTCGCGCGTGAATGAAGAATCTCAGAGCAACAGAGATACTTCCATGTGTTTAGAAGAAGATGATTCTCGAGATACCGTTTTGATGGGAATAAAAGACAACGATGAATTAAATGTAGTGAGTAATCTTGACGAGATATTTTTCCCTTCGGATGATATTGAAAATAAATATGATATTTTTAAAGATCTGAAAGTCCTTCTAATAAGATTCGATTGTTTAAAGGATTTTGGTAATAAGTATTCAGCGAGGGAAGTCGAGGAGGTAATTAAAGAGTATACGAATGTAAATTCTTTATCACGACCTCTCATCACTGAAATAGATGTTGTTAAACATGACATACCTATGGATATGACAACGACTGTTCCAGTGGCTTTTCCAAGAGTTTCCAGCTTCAGCAATGACGAACAACTGAATTCAGCTGCACGGGTTTGCAGAACTTCAGACGAGAAATCTATGATTAATAGTCAGTCACCCAATTCTTCCTACAGAACTCCTCCAAAGTCGATACGGAACGCTGTACAGGAAACGAGTCACACGGAGGTTCAGAAAGCTGTTCGCGATCTCACAACAGAATTCCAGAAAGAAGAAGAACCAAAGCAGAGATCGAGCGATCATCATTCATCATTCACTGCCGACGTTCCGTCGTTACCTTCCGGAGTCTCGTCACCTGAAAAGGTGAAAGAAACGACACTTAAAAGGGTGAAAGAAAAGACAGAGGCCATCGCCACTCCGGATCCTCGTATCGATGAACAAGAGGCGAGTTTGTCTAAATCGCAAACATGTAGACTGCAACCGGTTCCTGCTAATCCGTCTACAAATTCTGATTCTAATCTACCAATAACTTCGATTAAGAAGAAACCTACGGATGAGAAAGACAGTAAACCTTACAGGTGTATCGTCTGTGATACGACTTACTCAGACTTTGCAACTTTACAGAAACATTTAGCTGTGCATAGTAATAAAAATAATACTACAACCGCTGACCCACCGAACGTCGACTGTTTAGACATACCTGAAGAGCGGCCACTGGTGATAGAACTGCCGGAACGTGGAGAGATTTCCGAATCCAAAGACTCGTCAGAATCAGCTTTGGTCAATAGCAAGAAATCAAAAAGCAATACGAAACAACAGACGAAGAGTCTTCCAAAGAAAGAACGAAGTCGAAAGAAAACAGATAGTGAAAATAAAAGAAAAAGAGAAAAAGTTTCTGTTCAAACCAACGAAACTTGCGGCGTCTGCTCTCAAGTCTTCCTGAACAGAGTCGATCTGGCCGCGCACATTTTCCTGCATACAGAAACTGAATTGCAGGACGCCCTTAAACGCGCTGAAGGGAAATTGAAGGACACTAAACGAAAAGATAAGAAAGATAAGAAGAATAGAAGATCGTCTTCGTCGTCGAAGCCTTCCACATCGGAGACGATTCCTCAGAAGGAAGAAGAATTAAACAAAACTGCTGGTAAATCTGACGAAATTAAATCAACAGAACACTGCAAGAGTGTACAGAATAAAATATCGTCGCCGAAGACTGATCACCAGGGATTGGAAACCCGTAAAGAAGATTTAGAATCGTTAAACCAGGGAGACATACACACAGCAGAAACACCTAAGAAATCTGGACAATCAGAAGCGAATTCAGTCGAAAAAGAAGTACAACAATCAAGCAAGAAATCTGACGTAACTCCTATTAAAATTAGTAACACCGTTGAACAAACACCGTCGAAGGAACCTGAAACGAGTAGAAAGAAGTTGACAATCTGTGAATGTCACAACAAATATAATCCAAATATAACTGATTTAGAAATCGAAATAGTTCTCCTGTGCCATATCTGCAGAAGATTGTTCAGAACCATGAAGTGCTTTAACAAGCATTTCAGGCATCATCAGTACACAGCCTGCAGCCCGACGAAGAGCAACCAATCCCCGCGTTTATTATGTTCTACCTGCGGCAAAGTATTCAGTTGCGTACAAAACGTGCAACATCACTTAGAGATGCACGCACGTTCCAGTAAAACGACGTGCACTACTAATTTCCGTTGTAACATTTGCAAGGTGATGTTCTTCGGGATCGGCTCGCTTTTCTACACCCACTGGTCAAGTCATATGAGGAATCCTTACTGGGTGGCGGACGAGCAATCGTTCCCGGATGAATCTATAGTAAGACTGCCGTCGTTTAAGAATCTACTCGTCGACGGATACATCACTGTAGCTGAGTACCTGTGCCCCAAATGTAAAGACGTGTTTGCCACCGACCGAGAGTTGAACAAACACTTAGAAAACTGCAACAAAGTTATTAATACGAGTATAGAGATATTATGCGATTTGTGCGACGTATCTTATAGCGAGAAGTCGGAATTTTATAAACACGTAAGGAACAAACATCATTTCTGCGGCGAGCCTCAATTGACCGACAACGGGTCAACGATTGTTTGCGAGATTTGTAAAGAAACGTTAACGAACTTGAGCGAGTTCGATAATCACTGGTTAAAACATCTCGCGACCCACACTACGTTCACCTGTGCTCAATGCAAAGCCGAATTCAAAGACAATTTAAATCTGTTCGCCGAACATGCCAAGGTACACAAAATTGAAAATGTACTATGTACGGTTCATTACACGAACATGAATCATATTTGTGAGATTTGCTGTATAGGGTTTGACTCGTTGGAGAAGTTCGAGGAACACATGACTGGTCATAGTGACATTCCGATTGACGAGAACGATCCACCTATGTCTTGCATCAATATTTCTAGTGGAGAGGACTCTCCAGATCTAGAGGCATGCAGCAGTTCTTGTAACGTTGTACAGAAGGACTCGACACAAGAGAAATCATTGAAAAATAGAACAGAAATCAACGAAGATAAAGAGGACCAAATAGAAGAGACTAAATTAATAATTGATTTAACGAAAGAAGACGAGGCAATCGAAAAACAGCAAAAGGCCAGTGGTCCCAGTCTGCAGGAACCACCTCAGAACGTAGAAGAAAGCGAATCTAATTCTATGGAAAGACAGGAGAGCCAACCGAAGCCTAGGCAAGGTTTCTTACGAGTTAAAACTTTGCAGGAACTCACCGGAACTGCGTACATCTGCAAAACTTGTGGTTGCTCGTTCGAGAGCGTCAGTGAATTATCGAATCACGAGAAGCATCACGAAAGTGCGAATGATCAAGGAAACGTACAATTGAATAATTTAATTGGAATCGTTGCGAAGGATATACTTCAGGACTCGAGTCAGAATGAATTCAAATTGCAGCTGCTAGTGAAACAATCTGGCGTTTGTAAAGAGATACCGTTAAGGACGGAACATCTGCAGCGACATTCACCGGTTATTCAAAACTCCCAACCGGGAGATCAAACTGTGGCCGATTCCGCGATCAATCTATCTACTCAGAATAATAACACAGAGCAACAAGCCTCTTCGTCGAACTCACCGGTCGGTTTTCATAAAAATTTGCCTTACAACAATATCGTTCGGAAGAGCAAAGCTGTGCCGAGGACTGCCGTTTTGAAAACCGATGGCACGATGTACAAGTTTCGAATGATGCCGTCGTCTCTACCTCCGGACGAACGTAAACGATTAATGGCCAGTTTCGGTTTTATAATAGACCCGAACGATAATCAGACAAAGTTCAAATGTAAATTCTGCGATTTCTGTTCTGTGAACGAGTCGGACTGCGTGAAACACGACAATCCAGGTACCGAAGCGTCTTGCAAAGTGAGATACCCTCAGAACCGGACTCAGACTCAACCGGAACGCGGAAACATCCCTCCTAGTTATAATAAACCACCACAGCCGAGTCAATCGCAGGGACAGAATGCTTCGTATGTTAACACCTATGCAAGTGGCAGAGGTACGAGCGAGATGATGAAACAAAACTACCAACAAATACCTAATCAACCACCAGACGCGGTTTATTACAAGACTGTGGGCAACACGAACGGCGGGATGTCGATAGTGATTAATCCACCCGCTGCGACCAGCATGCAGAACATGTCTACTTTTGGAATTGTGCATTCGGCACCGCAGCAACAACTGTTTCAGCAGCAAGTTCATCCGAATCCGATGACGATTATCCGGACACCGTACGTGCAACAGTCACAGGTAGTTTGGTGGCCTCCGACGGACATTGACACAATACCAAAGCCATGAACGTGATCTCATTGATTTTATTTTATTAGATTTGTTTCATCGATCAATTAATTAATTACGTAAGATATTATGATAGTTCTGGCTTTTCAATCGACTCCTTATGCGAGGAAGTTTCGTGAACACGCGTGCTTGCCATAGATGAAATTAAAAATATGATACTTGATATAAAAATTTGGTAGACAAGAAGGAACAATTGGCTGTAGAAGAACAAAACGAATGATGAAAGACTGAGCGAGAACGAACTGCCTCGAGCGATCATTTCCCCGCTTAAGGGATAGACGATTCGACGTTTTCTAATTATTATATTTGTAGAACGTGGTGATTTGTTCGAACAACGTGTGCCAAGTAAGGAGGGATCAGATACCTAACGGGGAGGCCGTGATCACCTACGAAGTCAGACTCCGACCAACGAGATTTGTCTGCACCCATTGCTCCAAATCCTTCGGTTCCGAGAGTCTGTTACAAGCGCACGTCAACTCTGACCATAATTTTATATGCACAGTCTGTAACGAACGTTTTTACCATTACAACGAATTGCTTGTTCATCAAGTTAAACATTTGAACACCAAGTAAGATGTTATCAGAGGCTCATAGAACAGGCAAAAATATTTGCATAGATCAAACTATCGAACAAGCCGCACGATTCACCCCGTCTTATATTAAATGTAAACGTTGTTCAAGAATTTCTATCCAAGTTAGAATATTAAATTGTTACATGAAAAGCAGCACTGTTTTTCAAATATTGTTGTATCAGTATTTTTAACGAACAAAGGTCCTTCGTTTAATAACGGAGAACGGCTACATTTCATATGCGACTAATTGTATAATTATTGAACAATTTGCTAATTAATTAAAATGCGAGTTATTGATTATAATTGCATAAATATATATGATAATACGAGCTCGGAGTATAGAAGACAAAGAGAACTGTTTAAAGTTGAAGTATTAGTCTAAGAGTAAGATACTAACATATTTTTGTAATCTCAATTTCATTTATTAAAGAAACAAAAGTTGATTGTAGTAGGAATGAGTGAACGTGATGAAAAATCTAAATGAAGAAAATAGGATTAAGTCTGCCTTAATTCCTTCGATTTTTTTACTTTAGATTTTCATAATAGACTGCAGTTAAAGAAAGGAATACAGAATTGTACGATCAATAAACTATTAGTATGTATATACATTATGCTGATTTCCTTTATTCGGCACTTTGAGCTTCTCTCTTCTTTTTTACAATGACTGTCGATCTCCGTCGATAGAAATAGAGTAACAGGGCAATCTTACAAACAATTGGAAAGAGCAGCTGCTACGTTCGTTTAAAAATCTTTTCAACAGCTTGTAAAATTTACACTGCGGGGACGAAATGTCTGTGGCGCTTATTTATTATACTAATCGTAAGATTAATTAGAATCTGACGTTCCTAACATTCCGAGCTTTTCGTTCTTTATTAATTCTTCGAAATTAAATAAAGAACAATAATTAAGATTCTCCATCGTTCGTAAACGAAAGTTCGTTCGTACAATTAACTCTTTGAAGCATGTCCCGATTTCAATCAATTTTAATACCTAAACACGAGAGGAGAATCATTAATCTTCGTATTTTAATTATAATTAATTTTAATTCGATTCAAATTAACCGCGCGCACGCGTCGCCGAACCGAAGATCACGTGACCGGAGGATCCTTCGTTAGTCAAGATGGCGTCGCCGAGCCGAGAATCACGTGACCGGAGGATCCTTCCATAGTCAAGATGGCGTCGCTCGTGCTGCCGGTGCTCCGTCGTCGTGCTGCGTGCCGAAAATCTTCAAATAATCAAGTAATCAAGGTATTTACGCATGTTTCGTTATTATATCATTGAACTGCGATGTTTTATGCGAGATGTGCCACCTGTAATGGTAATTTAAAGTGCGAGACTCAAACAGGTGTTTATTCTTATTGTATACGAAGATGCTTCAAAGAGTTGCACGGCAAGCGAATAAAAATCGTTCGTACGAAATCTTGCGTGAACGTTTTGTTTAGAAATTAAGTCATATGAATTAGCTCGGTTCGGATGTAATCGCGAGTCTCCTTATAGTAATGAACGGTCCTTACGTTTAAGGCAAGACAAATATAATTGCTCGTGTTATCGCTATCGCGAGGTGTAAATCGTTCGTTACACCTTCGTTAAACCTAGAATTTGGCACGTAATTCACGTTTCAACACAATCGTCCGTTGTGTTTCGATTCGAAAGCTAACAGAACTGTTCTCGTACTCGTGTTATACTGCGTACGTCGTACATTACGGTAATATAAAGTTACATTACGATTACGTTATACTCGAACGGAAGAGGAAGGCTATATTTTTCCGTTCCAATTATGTATTCACAGATCCCATCGAAATTAGTGTAGATTCCTTTTAACGTCCGACAAATAAATTATTAAAGTCGAGAATTGTTTCATGTACGAAAGAATGTTTTAATATTTCTTGCACTGTAAAAATTATCGTTAATTCGTTCTATCTGGTTATGGCAATTGCTGTGGAAATTGTAGAATAATTCGGATGCATAAAATTATTGGAAAATTGTGAATACATAATGGAAGCAGTAACTATGAATAATCCTACTGTAACAATTAAGTATCGTTATGAAAGACCGCGTTGGTCTTTCACGAGGCTGGTCGTCCTCCAGGAATCGATTTTTAATTCAAATCGAATCCTTTTGCGTATGTTTTAATAATACTGATATAGGTCTTCGACGTTTACCCCTATTTACCGATTCCTTAGAACGGTTTTCGTTTAATGTACGTGTGACAAATAAATAGGGAACATTTGACGAAGTGATACAAAATTCTAATTGAGATTTCAGACAGAATTTTTAATTTGGTAAAGTTAAAAGCTTGAAGTTTGTCATTAGGTACAGTTTTTGCTCAGCGTCTGACCAGCGGTCGACTTGTACTACTTCCCTATTTAGAATCTCAATTAGAACTGATCATGAACTGTAAATTAAATGAATTATTTCTCTATTGAAAACCGAATGTAAAATGTTTCATTTGATAAGAAAAATGAGATGAATTATCACCGATGATGAGAACGTTTCGTAAGAAAAATAGTAGAACGTGAGTGTATTATTTAATAGGTTAGAAACGTGTGTTTATCTACTGTTTCACTATAAATTATTGAGCCAACGGAGGTATCACCTATAAATCGTGATTCTCTATGAATTAACGTTGAGAATTACCTCCGTACGTTGTGTCTGCGTGTGTGCGTGTATATATCGTACAACTACCGTTTTACAATTGTATTAATTAACCCTACGAGACCTAATCGTATAATCGGTGGAAAAATATCGTTATTATTTTTCGTCGTCGGAATATTTTCATTTGCAATAGATTGGACGTTCTATATCCAGCAGCCTAACCTCGAGAGCCAGGTTGAGCAAACCTTTTCACTTTAGCTAGTCCAATGAAACGTTTCCAGTCCAGGGAAATAATTCCTGTTTCCCAAACGTGAGTTCCAACTTTTGTTAGAATTTATTTTAATCACACATCCGTTTGACTGAAAATGAATTATTTAAAACACAGATTCAGTGAAACAGATTTGGATTCAGAATGGATATCCTCGAACAGGAAACGAATCTGAGACCCCATAACAAAGTTGATGCTGCTGCTGCTTTTCATTTCTCACTCTTCATTTCTTTCTGGACTTTAAAACTGGTGCATCAATTCTCATCAGCTAAAATCTAGTTTCTTTTTTAATTAATCCTTAATTATTTAATGGTGCGTTTATACGCGAACTGGCCAAGGGTCCTCGATTTATCTACACGATGTTATATGGAAAAAAGATGACTGTCCCTTCGATTTTTTTTCGTTTTGTATATAAAACTTAACTTGAAATTGGGTCCTCTAGTTCTCGAATCAGTCTGTAATGGGTGGCTAAGTACTATTTAGAAAACGACTAGAACCGTATTCTTCCACGAAGTTTCCTCGTCGTACCAAAAATACTCTCAGCTCTTAAAGACGCGGGCAAAGGTCGTTTTGATGCTTGACTCCAAGTAGGGAGGACGAACAGATTCAGGAAGATACAGTTTTAATCCGGTAGCCAAAACGTTTACGTTAATTCTATTATTGCGTTTGGAACTCTAATTGTAATGTTTGCTGCCCAAAGTTCTTCTGTTCCAATTTCGTTTATACTTGCTTAAAAAATGTTTTTGTCGAATATTCAGTTTCAAAAATATCTCTTGACTTTTTATAGTAAACTTCTTAAAAATGCGAACGTTTGTAGTAAAGAGTAAAGTCGAAAGGTGGTTATTTTAGAAATCTGAGAATTTAAGTACGACAGGCTTGAGTCATCTTTAGAAACTTTTCCAATTAGCTAGATTATTTTACAAGGTTTGACTGCGTTTATGTTTATCTAATGCCTACGAGTTTCGAGTCTAACTAAAACCTTGGCAATTCCAGAACCAAGAGGATCGTTTCGAGAAGCGAACTGGTCCAGGAATCTCCGATAGAAAAACGTTTCCCTAAGAAAGATCGGGCAGTGGTCGAGTTGTACTCGTGGGGAGAAAAGAATGGACCGACGGATGATTCGATTGTCCTTATTTAAATCCTTAAAACTCAGCAGTTTCGTGTTACCAAATGATTAAACGAATCAGACTCTGTATAAACAATCGTCCGAACGATTCAAGTCTGTCATTGTTAATAATTAGGTCGTCGGTATGAAACTGCTAAGCTTTTTAAAACCTGCTAACTGCCTCGTCGTCGGTGACGAAGTAATTGGAGTTCTTCACTGCCGAGCTGTACATGTTGTAAGTAGGACTGCAGACCACCAACCCGGTGGTACAACCGCTCAGTTCCTTCTCGGTCGTCACAGAACCGTGCCGAGCGATCGTCGAGGTTCTCCTGTCTTTCTTCACGAGGGTCATGCGACAGTCCTCGGGTCGTAGGGGCATCGAAGGGTACATCGGTTGCCTGGCCAGGGTGGTCAGTGCTCTGTCCCCCGTGTCGTTGAAACTGCACAAGTTTCAATGAACAATCGTAGAGCTCTCCGAGAACGAGTAGTTGATAAATACCTGTGATGCCTGACGATGCCCCTCTTGATCCTGCAATTCTCGTTTCCACCTTGACCCTCTAACGCGGTCCCGTGAGTCTTACACGCCTCGACTCCCATAGGAACAGGGGACAAAGATCCGGGTCCATAAGAACCGCTGCTTTGTCTCCTGTCCAAGATGTGCACGAGCTCCACCGATGGAGTCGGTGAAAACGTGCCCTACACACACCTCGGATCAAACCTCAGTCTTTTAGAACGAAAATCAAATAAAACCAACAGACCTGATCTGATTTAATTAAAAATGGAACAGTACAGGAAACAGTGGAATAAGGGAGAACTTAAAATAAGCTGGTTCAAATGAAAATCGTTTAATTAAAATAAAACGGTACAAATCATATAATAATTAATTAGAATTTATAAAGGAGTGTCGTCGCTCACCTGCAGCGACGGTCTTCTCAGAGTGCCACCCTCCATACCGACTAGCTTCACACCTTTCACGTTCTTCTTAGCATTTATTGTAGTCAACATGTTGTCCGGGACTGTTTGAAATTCTGTGTGCCTCTCGTTTTCCTTCATCTTCTCGTTTGCAAAAGACCCCTCGATGGGTTTAGCGTAGTGAGGCCCCGGCGTCACCGGCGTGGCCACCGTAGAATTCGTTTGAACGTTCACTATACTGTTACCGGTCGGCAGTAGTATTTGACCCACGGAACCCCTCAGGTTCCTCACGGCCAATATCTGCCCTCTGGACACTTCGTTACTTTGTATAGAAGCGTATTGACTAGGCGTAGGCGTGTGTCTGCCACCGATTGTAGAATTCCTCAACGTCTGCAGGTGCTGCAGGCTCTGATTAGCTTTTTGAACCGCCGGCACGTTGTTCATCTTGCACGAGTCTTTTTCGTATGGATCACCGGTCATTGTATTGTTCACGTGCTCGGTTCTTTCAGTCATGTCTTCGAGTGAATTAGTAATCGTGCGATCGTCTTCGTAGCTACCTGTACCGATACCGTCGACCGAGTCCATCCCTGAAGTGGATTTCTAAACAGTTGGAAAATGTTCATGTGTTTAAGTTTCTTAAAATTATTAGAATCGATTTTGAAAGAATCATATTTACATTGACAGAGGATGTGTCCATCAGAGCGGCGCCGGAGCTGCTTTGCACGACTCCTTGGTCCTTCGACTTGCCAGGAGAATAGACGCTGAGGACGTCGCAGCATCGTGGGAAGTAGCCCTTGCCGAGGAGGTTCCTCGTGAAGAAACTTGTGATTAATTGAGCGAGGAGAGTCGCGATCATCGTCCCAGTACGGAACGGGAACTTCTGCGATTGAGTCTCCGCGTCGAAGAATGGATACTCGATCAACGCCGGCATACCCAGTCCTTTTTCACCACCTGGAAGATATGGGAATTAAAGGAGGAACAGGAAATCGAATTGAAAGATGTTCTTACCGCAAAGACGTAGAACGATCGCCACGACGTAGCCTGCTATACACCCGTACGTGTCGACCAACGAAGGCCAGTGGACGACGGTCAACAGCAGAGGGAAGAGTACCACGTACACGAGATCAGAACACAAGATTCTGTAAAAGGAGAATCGATTCGAATCTGATTTTTATTTAGATTCTTTTACGGATGTACTCACGAGAGGTAATAAACGCTGTCCACTGTCAGCGCGATCCCCGTTGCCAGGGTCGTGAAAATGATTATCGATATTTGCAGAATCCATTTGAGTTCTCTCTCCGATGCCTAAGACGAGACGGAGCAATTGAATTCGTTAAACATCGTTTATCGCTTGCGATTTACCTTTGGCCTGAGGGTCAGTCTGTAAACGTTCCTCGAGAACATCGAACTGCTAGCCAGTATACTCGAATCCGCTGACGACATCACCGCAGCAGAGATCGCACCTAAACCTGTGCATCGATCGATAATCGTAATTAATAAAATAGTCCCTCCCGAAACGAGGACAGATAAGGATTAGTGTCACTAGTCTCTTAGTCGATAAGAAATTGCGGAGGAAGCACAGAGAGAGTTCTTCAATCTTATTCTTTATAGACACTCGACCTGTTTCGCGGTTTCTTAAGTGACTAATGTTACTAGCCGTGTGAAACAGCGAGTGTGCTTATCTCGAGGGTGAAAGAGGGTCACAGATGGGGTTGTTAGTATGAAAATGCTGTCTTTGCAAGATTTACAAGAGTCAGCAATTATTTAGCATTGTTCAATTAAACAGAATAACAAATCAAGATTTAATAAGGATGGGAATCTGAACAGCGGATCGATTCTGTTAATTCCAAGTAGTACGACTCACCGACAAAGGCGACCCATTCAGGCGTCAGGTATCGGAGCACTATTGGTAACGCCGCATTCCCGTCGTACGCAATCAGGCTCCTGTTGAAACCTTCTATGGAGGACCAGTCGGTGGCACGAGCGACCACGCCGATCAGCATCGAGGGAAGTGCCAGTATCATACAGCAGAACATCGACCCAATCGATATAGCCGTGGTCATCTTCGTGGTCCTCATGCTGAGAATCCTTTGGAAGTAGCCCTGGATTTAAAATGGACGAAAGTTAAACAAATCTTTTCTCGTGCAGTTTTGAAAACTCGTTTGCCCCGAATTGCAAGCTGCTCGTTAGAACCAAACAAGATTTGCATATCGAGCACCGATATTAAAACCAAGCCCATGAATATTCAATACCTGCCAAGGTATACCGCCGAATATCAACACCAGCATGTTGTCCACCCACTCTCCCAGGTCTTCGTTCTTGATCTCGCCCAACCATTCCTGCGGAGCAAGGTTCTTCTCGAAGGAGACCGCCGGGTGGAACACCGAGAACGGCGCAGCTACTCCTAAACCGATCGCGATGCAAGCCAACTGCAACGCGTCCGTACAAGCCACCGAGTACAGCCCACCGAAAACCGTGTACCTGCACGATTCATACATACAGAAATCCTCTTGGACTTTCAAGTAGGAACAGAATCTTGATTTCGAGTTTTACGGGGAAGGTGAAATTAAAGATTGAAATTTCTGCAGATTTTTAAATACGGGAATATTGAAGATACTTATGCAACGGGTACTCACACGGCTGCCAAGAGCGCAGAGGCGATCATGCTGACGTCCGGATCGACGCCAGCCACCACCGCCAACGAGCTGCCCAAAGCCTTCAATATACCAGCGCACCAGAACAGATCACCGCAGAGCGCAGGAAGGAAGAGCAGTCCTCCGACCCCTGACCCGTACCTCTCTTGAAACGGGTCCAACATCGTCATATATTCAGCTTTCCTCATCGGCCTCACGAACAACACGGCACCTGAATTTTCATTTTTTCACCTCAACAACTCGCGTAATCACGGAGCATGTCTACTAATTTTCAAGCTGGTAATTATCTCTGTTGAAACGAACCCACGAGCTCTGTACGTTATCTACTTGGATTTTTAATCGCGATAATAATGAATGAGCTCGGAATTACTATTGAAAACGTGCGATCAATTGAAACGGAAATCGTTAAAAGCCGAGTGAATCGACATGCAGTTTTAATTAGGTGGTCCTCGGTTAAGTGAAACGCAAACTTCGTTACGAATGTATAACCGCGATTAATTGCAGTTCTATCAAATTCGGGATCAGACAGGAGCGAGAAGTGGAGGAGCCGAAGGGGGGATCGTTAACGAAAAGGGATATCCATTAGCTTCGAGTAGATGAAAAATTCGGTTCGCGCGTAGCCATCCAAATAAATGAAACTGATTGATGGCTAATCGAAATTGTACTAACGTTTCAGTAAAAACGTCCTTTTGATTTAATAATCAAGATTTATTAGTCTCTAGTTTACTTAGAATTTCGATAAGAATCATAAAATTAAATCCAATGATTAAATTTGATTTGCACGATAAATAAATTGGGGCAGATGTAAATGGATATAAAAGGCAGTCCTCGGCCTTGACCACTTGATCGCTACCCCATCGATTCGCCCGCTTCCGTTCTCCCTAGTTAAAGGGTTAAGGCTACACGTAGATAACAGGCATGTGTGCAGTTAAGTGTCATTGTCAATGCTTGTGAATAGAATGTCGATCCACTCGACTATTCGGTAGGAAATGCCAGGATTTTAGGAAGGGAGAATCGATGCTCCATAGAACGAGTTCTTTTATCGTTTCAATCAATATATTTAGTGGATTCGGTTTTGAAAAAAAATGTTCGTACCAAACAGTAGACTGAGGCTGTAGCCGAAGGGCACTTGACACCAGGCCAGTCCTCTGGTAAACATCACCTCCGCGGTGCCGTTCACGTAGGCTCCTCCGACCCACGTGGCTGCATAGAAACAAAGTTGTTCCTCTCGATTAATCAACCGAGTAATCGCTCTTTCACTGGGTAAATGTTACTCAGTGATCTGTGATCGAAACTCCTCGTTTAGAAAATTTAATGTCAGAATCGTCGCTCCGTTAATTCTAATTGCCCGGAATGTTTCGGGGATGCATAAATATTGAAACGCGTTCCATATCCGCGGCAATGATTTTTGCATCCCTCCATTAGCTTAATGAACGGTAGGGAAAATGGAAATATGCCACGGAAAATGCACCGCTCGACTATAACTGTCCGTATTATGCTCTCTTTCTCTCTCTCTCCCGGGTTCTCGACGTGCCGAGTGAATGCCGGGAGGGAAACGATGGAAAGGGGATTCGCACGCGTTTCTGCGGTCGCCGATTGTTCTAACGTTCGGTCAGCCGCGAGGATTTGGGTCGGCCAAATTGGTTTTGCAACGAAAGACCTTCTTTTTTAACGCCGTTCATAAGGGTAGCTCGACTCAATCACCTCTGATCACTTGAACTAATTTTTAATCGTGCAATTGTTGTATGTAAAAGTCACAGATTTAATTATTTGGTAATTGGAATTTAGTTTTGATGAGACTTACCGACGAGAGTGAAGATTCCGAGGACAGGGCCTAGGTTGCGATTAGCCAGGATAATAGACTCCTGTCCATCGCGTGCCTTTTTCTTCTTCGTAGCGCCTGCCCAAATCCCGACTACCAGTACTGCTATGTAAAAAAGGATAACGCCGACCAGCCCCAGCACGTACACCCCCATGTTTCACCTTGGCTTCTGTCCTCTTCTCCCTGTGGCTGAATCAGTTCAGAAACACTTGTCTTCGTTTATATTTTAAGAAATCAGGATTGCTCAGCTCGTTTGGGAATGTTCAGAAGTGTTAACTTGTATTTTTATATGATTGAATTGTCTTAAAAGCGATTCTCCATGAACGAACGTGTTTGCATCGGCTGAAGTAATTATCTCGAGACGAAGGACACGGTTTCGGTCAAGGGTAGTAATTGATTAGAAGGGTGGCAAGGATGCGTACACTAATTACGTGGCTGGGGTGAGCTCTCTGTTCAAAGCTAGAAATCCGTCCCACGTTCATTTTCCGGTGATCGACACAGCAATTGTGATACTCTAATCGTTCCCTGCTAGAACACAGACAACACTATCTCGGATTTGAAACAATTGAATATTTCTTTTGCTTCAAGCAATTTTCATACTGTTCACTTATTATAAAATCTAAATATTGAACAAAGTTCCTATTAAACAGCTCATCTTGTTTTCAGGTCGAATGAACGTTGCATGAAATAAAAAAAGGATTCTGCAGCTATTTTCATTTCTGTTATTGATCAACCCGGGTATTGATCGTGGGACGATAAAATTCGGACAAGCCATCGTTTTCAGCAGTTAAGCAGACTACGTAGGAAAAGTTAAAGCTCGGTAAACCCGGAGTAGAAGCTAATCGAGCGCCGCCGCCGCCGCGGCAATTGCAGCGTGGATTAAAATTCAAGTGTGGCCCAGATATCGGGCGCGGATGGGTCGTCGGGTCATGACCCGGCTCGACCGTACACCTCGCTAAAATACAGTTGCAACTATTAAATAATTCGGCGAAACGTGCTCCGTTTTAAAAATAAAATATTTCGCGTAGGATTTTATTTAAGGAACGTTTGACTATTCACGTGCGTGCGATTTTCTTTTACTCACGTTTAGTTCAGCAGACCCGCGCTCTCGCATTACGCATTGTTAATCCCTTCTTCGGTTTCTCCTCCGCCCCGTTCTTCTCTTTCACCTGGGAAAAATCGTACGCTTCGCTGTTGAATTCGAACGTCATTGTTTGGTATATTGGAAACGGTTGCAGTTGTTTTGTTCTCTAGGTTTAGAATCGTTCTTTCAATCGGCATTGTTCACTCGCGCGACGAAGTTCGACGTTCGATTTCAGTCTCGAGTATTCCAAACGACTTTTTCTATCAAGTAATACGAACGTTCTATACATAGAAAGCACAGATTCCCTTTTGGTTTTATTAGAAGATTTTTGTAGTCAGTGTTAAAATTGATTATATTATTGTAAATCGGTTTAGAATTCTTCTTATAATGGGATCTGTGTGATCTGTAGATTATTTTTAATTCTGAATCATGTTAAATGTTTGTATTTATTTATAGTGTTTCGATTGTGAAAGTCTTTCAAGTGATTGAGAGGAATCTGTTTCATTGAGTCGAGTGTTGGTAGCTTGAAAAGGAGGTCACTATGGCAAAATTGTATTACTTTGATGAGTAGTCGAAATACTTGAAAAATTCTGTACAAAATTTTATGTAGTAACACAGAGGAGTGATTGCTGAAGAGTAGCTGACGATGAACGCAATTATTGATGAAAAATAAGAGTATTCGAGCTGGAAAAAATTGTATATGACGTTTGTTGTAGGTAATAGTATCACCTACGACTTATATTCGAAGCATTTGTCGAAATTCCGCAAAAAAAAAATTTTCGATTTTTCCGAGATTTTTCCAAGGGGTACCCCTTCAAATTTCTCGAAATTTTCGTTTTTTGTGAATAACTTCTAAACCGTGGGAGATACGGAAAAATTGCATAGGACCTTTCTTGTAGAGCTCGACGAGATCTACAATTTCCATATAAAAAGTTTGCGCTAGCGTTAATAGTTTACGAGTTATTTACGAAAAACGAAAAAACAGTTTTTCGTCAATAACTCGTAAACTACTGACG